GACTTACTCGAGTCAGAGCGTCTGGTCCTCCCGCGGTGTCTGCGCCGCTTCCCAGCGGGCCCGCGCGGGGCCTCCGGGCGGTGGCTCTGCCGCGGCACCGCCCACCGGGGCCGAGCGCCCCCTCCCGGCGCGGGACCAATGGGCGCGGGGCCCGCCCCCAGCGCGGCGCCCAAGAGCCCGGCCCGCACCTGGGTCTTCGCTCTTGTGCGCGTCCCGGCCCGGCCAGACCCGACCATGGCATCCGTGGCTCCCGGAGGGGTGGTGATCGTGGGCAGGTAAAGGCCTCCGAGCCTCCGCGCTGTTGCCACTGGATCCCGGGGAGGCGCCCGGGACGCGGTGCCCCGCGCGTGGGGCCCTCGGGGTGGGCGCCCAGCCCGCCGTCCCCGCGAGCGGGTGGGGTGGCGTGGCTCGTGTCGGCCTCCCGCCCTCCGAGGGCCCCTCCGCCCCTGTAGCCCTCCTCACAGCGCTGGCCGGGCTGGAGAAGCGCCCGGGAGCGGCGATGGCGGGGCAGGCAGAGCACACCGCAGAGTGCCGTTTGATTGCCTCGCGGCTGGCTTGCCGGGAGGCTCCGAAAGCTGGCGGCGCACGCTGCCGTTGCAGCGCAGTTTGCGGCGTCTGCGGAACGGTGCGGGGCCTAGCACCAAGTCCAGGGAAGCGCCCCAGGCTTTACGTATTAACGAAACCAATTGGGACAACAATCCTGCGATAATGTGTTCTTACTCCCATTTTACGAATGAGAAAACTGAGGGTAGGCAGTTTATCGAAGTCACATTTAGTAACGGAGACGGGACTAGCCCAGCAGGGAGGATCCGGATGCACGCGTAGGGCAAGGCTGCCCGCGGGGCGCGTTCCCTTTGCGAGGGTGTCACCCTCGCCCAAGACGGGAACAGGTGCTGGCGAAGAGACAGGGCACTCCTAATGCGTGGGCGAGGCGGCGTTGCCAGAGGGGGAGCGATGGAGCCAAGGAGTTTGTCAGGTGTGTTAACAACAGTCTAAATTCCCTCCAAATTGATTTCTGCTTTGTGCTCCCAGCCCTCCACCACTTTTACCACTCTTGCTATTTTCATTTAAAAAAAATAGGGCATTTATGTGTATGTTTACATTGGTTAGCAATCTGTCAACGTGTTAATACTTGCTATTGATAGTTAAAAGCACCTTTTTGGTGTCGACTTTGTGTCCCTTTTTGCCATAGAGCTGTAGGCCCGCCCGCTCCCTGTCTGGAGACCAGTCCCAGTGTCAGCATTTTTCTCTGCAGCCGTGGAAGGAAGGCCTCAGAATGCTCCTTGTCAGCTTGCTTTTGCTCGCACAGTAATGGAATTAATTGTACTTTTGCCCTTTCTGGGCCCCTGGGTGCCTGTGGCTGAATCGTGAAGGAATATAAAAAAGTACACTGTGCACCGGTTGCAGTATTTGTGCTTGTCTTGCATTTTAGTTACTGAAGGTCAAAAGCTAGAGTTTGCACATCTTCCATCATGCCTTGGAGTAGTGTTCCACGTGCAACTAATAAATGTTAAGCACACTGAATTTGATTGTGCTACTATCCAGCTGTGGGTGGTTCAATCTGCTGAGAAGGAGCTGTTTGCTATTGGCAATTAGTTTACCTCTGATTCCTTAAGGGAGGCTGACAAGGAATTAGAACGGGGTTGAGCAAAAACTTTTAGGACCACAGGAATTACCTGGGGCTTCAGCTTGTTTCTGTATTGTCTGGTTATGAAAGTCCTGTCTTTCCCTTACCCCCAGCACCTGGACAGACACCCAGCTCTGCTGCTGGGTCATGCTGATTTCTTCCTTTCATCGTTCCTGCTCTTCTTTCTCTCCTCTTCTCTCTCTTTCCTAACCCTACAGGTGATTCCAGGGAATATCCACTTAACAAATAGGGGTTGAGGAATGTAAATTAATTTGCTAAAACCTGGTTGAAGTTCATTCTTGGGGTTTAGCAGGTCAAAACATACATATTTCAATTTCAGGAACATACTGTTTTTCATCTTTCCTTATCAGTTTCCAGATTTCCTCTTAAACATACTTGCTAGAAAGTCTGGATTTAATTCTTTTCCGTTGATCTTTTCCCAAAGGCCACTTCTTTCTCAGGGCCACTTGGCTTTCCGTGAGCATCCAGGCTGAGTCCCTTCAGAATGGTGGTCTTGAAAGGGGAAGAGTAGGTTTTGGAGAATTAAGGAAGGAGAGAAAACCCTTTTGGGTTTTGTCCAGGAGAAGAAATGGGCCCTTTCTGTTGACCAATACCAGCTGCAGGTATTGCAGTTTTCCGTGCATCTTGTCTATTTGCTGAGCAGACTTCTCAGATATAATGGTTTTTC